CTGAATAAAGTTGCTTAAAAATATGTAAATAAAGCCATCCCAAGCATTGGTCAGGCTGCGCTGTTTTGACAAGACGTTGTAAGTGGCCAACTGCTACTATCTGGTGCAGTACAATGGCTTTTCCACCACTCCTTCGTGATTCTGGGAGTCAGACCTCTCGGCAGTACGGCAGTACTACTAGCATTTACATCCTAATTCCAGAGGGAGCTCTTGGCCAAGGCTTCAAAACAAAGACCACGATAAGCGTTTTTAATTTTAAAGAATTTTAATACAAACTTAATATAAACTATTTCAGTCCCTCTTAACATGTAAGACACTGACTCAAAATACTTTTATACCGTTTTTTTCAAGTATTGCACAATATAGGTACAAAATTAATATTTACGATTACATTTTCTTCCATAATATATAGCAAAAATCTTTAAACCTTTAACAGAAAATACATTTTTTTGAAAAAGCAAATATTCGTACATTTTAATTCCACCACTAAAGGAATATCCTGTACACAATTTTGAGAATAGTTGATGTCTTTAAGATGGATATTTTACAATTTCAGTAAAAAAAATACATGAAGCTGCTGCTGTCACAGGTCACTGTAGTAAAAAGATAGAAATGCAATACCGTGTCGTAGAAACAATATATATATCCTCTGATATTTTACAAACTTTGTACTAAATTAAATTATACAATTAGAAAAGACCAATAAACCCACTTATTAGTGCCAATTTTTTATAAAAAAAAAATCAGCCATGTCCTTGCTATATCTTAAATACTGTAAGAGGCCGTATCTGAGAGTATACTTTAAAATATACAGTCAGTATAAAATAACTTTGTGCTTGGTTGGCAAATGAAAAATGATGCAGGTTTTATTTTTGTAACCAAGCTTGAATGTATCCTTACTATGAGCTTAAAAAAAAAAAAAAAAAAAAAAAAAATCTCAAGGAGGTGAAAAAAAAAATCCCCCTTGGGCCCGTGCATTTTAACTTGTAGGATTCTTTTTTTTTTTTTTTTCCTTTTTTAGTTAGCCATGACAGGCTGGAATTGCTGGTTAGAATACTGCATGTTATTTAAGCTAAAATTCAAGCCATCTACAAAAGATTTCTCGTTGAGGCCTCCATAGGCCGCAAACACATCAAAGGCATTACTGTACTGGAGAGGACTGAGGTTAAGGGGGCTGTCACCTGGGAACATTCCATTGGTACTACTACCTTGACCCTGCATGTTAGGAAAAATAAATTCCTTGGCATTGGGAGAAAGAGCGGAGGCTTTCTGCTGCGGCTGCGGCTGCGGTGGCGGTGGCGGCGGTGGCGGCTGGGAAGGCTGCTGCTGCTGCTGGGGCTGCTGCTGGCTGCCCAGGCCGAGCCCGTACAGAGAGTGCATTGAGGAAGAGATGGCTTTCTGCTTCAAGAGGTCATTCACATTCAAGCCGAGGTTGATAGGAGAAGTACGTGCAACCTTGTTACTGCGGCCACTATTCTTCATTTTGGTAGAGCCGAACTTGGTGGCAGCAAAAGTGGCAGTGGTAAAGGTTAAAGGCTGAGTGGACCGGGGCATGAAGGTAGGGCTTACAGCAGCAGAGTGACCAAAGGGAGGCGACGGAGAGCTGGACACTGATGAGGCTGGGTCACTGATGGGCATAAAAACCTGGGCCTCTGGGTTAAAGCTGTTTTTGATCTCCTTATCCAACTCACATCCATTTTCATTATTATCATCCACATAAAGCACCTTCACTGGTCCCTTTTCACCAATTTGGTAGGAAACCTCAAATGGGTCGATCCAAACACTAAGATCCTGTGGCAGATTGCCACGAACATCATCAATGTCCAAACCACTCTCTTTGGATGCTTGTTCAATCACTGGGTCCACTTTCTCCCCTATGTGTATACATCTAAACCCTGATCCTTTGTATGGCTTTTCAGGATACCAGTGCCCTTCATATTTCTTCTTAAGAAGTCTTTCAAGCTCTTCACCAAAAATGTTGACACGTCTCCTGGGAAGCTTATTGTACAAATATGAAATAATAAAATTTAGTGCTACTTGGATTTCAAGCTGCATAGCTGCTATGCCACAAAGTGAGGTTTGTGTTTCAACTTCCCCCCACACACGCACACACAAGTGTTCAGTTTGTGGCAGAGAAACAAATTTTCATTCAAAGTGCTGGTACTTTGTAGATTATCCTTCACCTTCAGTGGTCTTGCTCCTTAAAGAAAAACAAAACAAAACAAAAACAAACATGTCCAAATAAGAGAAATCTAAGTCCCACAACCTCTTCTTACCCCCAGAGTAATTTTACTTTTGAAAAAGTCTAATAGGCTGAAAGTCAGAAAAATATAATCAGCACAAAATAAAGGAACATACAATAGAAAATTGTTTATTAAAGTTCAAAATCTCACAGGACAATTTAGGATTTACAGTTAAAACAATGTATTTAAAATCCTATTATTTACTTCTTTTTTTCTGAATACAACTCTAAAATATACATAGATATAGATATATATCTGTATCTATATATCTCCAGCATATGAAGTGTGTTTCTTCCCTCAGTTCTCAAAAGAATATTTATTGGAAACTCTACTCCGCACGCCCATCCACCCACCTCCACACACATATGTACCAGTTTTAGAAAGCGATCATATTCCTATTCACTAATTTAGAAGTGAATTCTGTATTTCTGTTCATACTGGATAAATGCTCCTTAGATCTGCTCTATCATTAAACGTTCAGACACTGGAGAAGTTAGGAAAATTAATTTCCGAAGTACATGATGCTAAAATTAAAAATACTAAATGCTAAATGAATTGCCATCCTAGTGAAGGATAATTATGAACCAAATTATCCTACATAGCTGCCACCTTAAATACACTAAGGGCATGCAATGTAATAATCGAGCTTCTCTCTTCTTCTCAGTGTGTATTTTTCAAAATCAGAAAATACCTCTTTGGCAGCAAATGTAACAAAGGCAGCAATTAATTTCAAAACCCTATTGATTATTCTCTTTAAAGGCCGGGGTTTCTGAGTTCTATTCTGATTTTCAAAACCACCTCCCTCCTTCACGATAAGAGGACCGCCTGAGAGGCTTGTACGATAAGGTCGACCTTTAAACGTTTGCTGGATCAGCACTGGGTGGGGATAAGAAAAGATCAAGGGCAAACAGAAGATATTTGCAAAAGGGATCTATTTGTACACTGAGGTTGATTTACAAGGACGTTTTAAAAATCAAGTTGGTATTAATCCATCTGTTCCATTTTCCATCCTCGTGGTGACAAAGAGAAAAGGATCTCTGGCTGCCCTCAAACTACACTTTGCAAGCCCGAAGCCTGAGCGCCGGCAGAGGCAGCTGATTAAGCCAAAACGCTTGACGGTGCAACCGAGCGAAATTCAGGCTCCGCCGAAGGTAGTTTTAAAGCAACGCCTTAAGACAGGAGTGTGAAGAATTACATAAACAGCCAGTTGGGTCTCATTAGATTTCTGCTCACAGCCCTCGGAGCCCAAGCGCTGGAGCAGCAGCAGCAAGAGGAGGAGGAGGAGGAGAGGAGGAGGAGGAGAGGAGAGTACAAGTCTCCTCCAAAAAGGAGGAGGAGGAAGGCCACGAGAAATGGCAAAGCAACTACTCGGGGCCGGGCACCGGGCAGATCGGGGCGCCCGCGGCTCCGGGTCAGCCGCTCCCCTCCCCCCGCCGTAACCTGACCCGTCGCTCCCGCTCCCGCCCCCCGCCCGAGGCTCCTGGGACCCGGCCAGAGCCCGGGGAGCACCGGCTCCCCCGCACCCTTTTCGGTCCCTACGGCCACCAGCCCCGCGGACCCCGCGGTCCCCCTCGAGCTCGCCGATCCTCCCCGGCGCCCCGACCCCCGGTTCCCGGTCAGCTCGGCCAGGGCCGCCCTTCCCCGTTTACTCTCCCGGCCCCGGCCGAGGCCGACGCGCCGGCCGGCCCCGCCTCCAGGTCCCCGGCGCGCTGGGGCCCCTTGGAGCCGCTCCCCTCGGAGCCGCTCCCCTCTGCGCTCGGGCCGAGAATCCGCCGTCCCCGAGGGCCCGGGGCTCGACGCCGCCGGAGCCCCTAGGTCCCCGGACCCCGCCCGCCGCCCCTCGATACTTACGGGCTGCTTCCACCACAGAGCCGGCCGCGGGGCGGGGGAGAAGGGGCGGCAGGGCGGGGGCTCGGGAGGATCGGCAGCGGCCAGCAGACTGAATGCAAGACGGCGTCGCCGGGCGGAGGACGGGGGCCTCGGCGTGGGCCTCGGGAACTCGCCCCCTGTGGCTCGGGGTGACGGGGACAGGTCAGGCGAGCGCGCTCACTTCTCCACACAGCCCGGTGCCCGGCCCAGCATCCCCGTAGTATGACCACTGCGCGCCGGGCCAGAGCTTCGCTCCTTCTGCCGCGGCGCGCGCCCCGCCTCTCGTTTTATAGTCTCCTCCCCGCCCCCATCCCCTCCCGTAGGGGTGCGCGCGCGCCCGCCTCGCGTCACACAGCTCGGGGCCGCGTAACCATTCCCCGCCCTCCCGCCCCTCACCCCAGACCCTCCGCGGCGGCTCCGCCCCTGCCCTGCCCCTCGACGCCATTGGTCAGGTCCCGCCTGCCCATGTCCCGACGGGCGGCGGAGGGCCCGTACGTAAGGCCACACCCCTCGGTCTCCACAACGGCCAATGAACAGACGTCCTGGAGGCTCTGCGGGCGGGACTAAGAGAAAACTAGGAAAGGGACTGGAGGAGAGAAGTGCCAGTGAGGGCGACGGTGGTGGGTGGGGCGGCTGACGCTAGGTCTTGGAGGAGAGCCCCAGAGAGAAGGGGGGAGGGGAGCGAGGCAGGTGGCCGAGCGGCGCGGAACAACGGGGAGAAGAGCCCGAGGCCTCGAGAGGGAGGGGACAGTTTACAAAAAATGCCCTACCCGAGTGGGACTGTGGCCCAGGAAAATCCCACTCGTGGACGAGCTACCAAATTGGCCTCCAGTGCACCCGGGAGAGCCTAGAGAAAGGGCGAACTCTGTGACAGGGACTCGAGCACCCGGTTAACTGAATATTAATCACCTCCGGGGCCTAGGCCAACTGCCACCCAGAGAGTGGCAACAGCAGAACCCAAAGCGGCCGTGCTAGGCTGGGGGTGGGGAAGGGAGTCCACCTGGCCACACCTCCCGCCTAGGTGACAGTTTAACTGCCTCCGCATCCCACATCACAACCTCCCCGTGCGATCCGGCAGCAACTTGGACGTGGGAGTGGCCTGAGACTGTAAGAAGAACCACATTTTGTTCCCAATGTCCCAGCCTAGGCCTCCGTGCCAAACTGCGTACGTATCTAAGTGTATATATACATGCGTGTATTTCAAGTGTCCTTTAACATCAATACACACAATACACACGGTGCCTTCCTGTAAGGTGCGTTTAGGATGCTCTTCGATTGAACTACAAGCGGGTAAATAGGGAGCGCGGAACGAGAGGGAGTCTAGGGAGGCCGGTAAGCGCCCCTTTTCACAACCTGCGGCGGAGAAATACACGAAGTTGCCTGGGCGTAGAACCGAGCGGCCCTCTCTGCTAAAAATATTGCACACAGGTAGCAACGACGCCTGATTGGCCGCGCTTCTCCCTTAGCAGCTAGGCGATTGGCTGTCTGGTATCCAGGAGACCGACGTCAAACTCGCAAGGGGAAAGGGGAGAGAAAGTCTAAGGGGAGGGAAGGGTGGAAGGGGAGAGAGAGGAGCAATGAATGAAACGCCCAGCGCTGGCCTTCTCCTCCCTTTGCTCTGCACTCCAGAAGTGCTTCCTGGAAAAACACCAGTTGGGGCTCCGCCTTCCTCTAAAAACTGTGGGGCCTGCACTCTCAACCTGCTATAAGGAAGTTAAAGCGCAACTCCCCGCGGAGTAGGGTGTCCGCGGAGCTGGCTGTGTAGACCAGCTGTGCTCCTTGCACACGCACCCTCTGTAGGTGTTAGGCCTAGAGGCTTTGCGCTTTAGGGATGCAAGATCCGATCGTAGCCTTTTTCTCCACCCTCTCATGCCCTCGTGCCTCCGCCCCCACCCCGTTCCCCTTTAGAAGAAACCCAATCAATAGAGGATATATCTAAAGTCCCCGATGTGTGCGGGAGGAGGAGGGAAGGGTGTGTGCGATGGGTTGAGGGTGGGAGTGGTCAGGTGGCCGATTTCGTGTTTATTGCACGGATTCCTAAAGCTCAGGTGGCGTGTTTTAAGAACATTCAAGTTTTACTCAAAGACTCTTTAAATTCCGATTTTTTAGTCTTTGGATTTTTTTTTAACAAGGAAAAGTGGAATTTGATTGCGAAAGTGTGGATGTGTTTTATTTTATTTTATTTTTGGAAACATTTTAAGTTAAATGTTTCTCTGCATCAAGATATATTCTTTCAGTGTTTACTACTTTTTGCTCAGTTGTATTTTTTTTGTTTTCTAAAATGAATATCCACTCCATGTTGTTATTAAAAAATGAGTTATTTTTAATTTTATAATTAGTTGAGGGCAGAAGTTACAAGAAGTAAGATAGGATATTTTGGGAATGGCCTATCAAGAGAAACATTTCATCTTTCCTGTGCCCCAAGGCATAATTTCTCTTACAATTAGGCAAATAATATTTGCTGTACCAAACACCCAGCATTGCAGGACCTTGTGTCTGGCCATGTGTCTTGATATGTAATTTGGAAAGTATATCACTATAATTAGAGGAGTATATTAGGCTCAGCTGAGATTAAAATGTCTAACCAAAGATAGATGAATTGTAATTTTGTCAACCTTATCTATACTTTCCACAAATTCTCAAAGGGAAGGCACAAATTCTCTTTTCTGAACATCCCCAATCTATAATCTCGGGCTTAAAATTCAAGAGCAGACATCTGATAGGTTCTGATTAATTAGTGATAGCGGTAAATTGAATTTTTTAAAAAAAGTTAGACACCAAAAATGTATGAGTTATTGCAGCTTAGTCCAAGGGTATGAGAATGTTTCAAAACAAATATGAACACACACACACACACACACACACACACACATATTGAGGCCCCATGTCATCTGAAGGGCAGGTGTTGGGAGATCTGAATTTTATCCATTTCTATCAACCTTCAGTTCTCTCACCTACAAAAAGGGGTTGGATTATATAATCTCTAACATCTCTTTCAATCAAAAAATTCCACGTTTAAAACTCAGTGCCCCTAAGGTAAACAATGTAGTTGTTTTAAAGATATAGATTGCAAATAAGAGGGAAACCAGATTCATATACTTCCAAGTCACAAGGGATAAAACTCCCTTTATCCAAGTTTTACACTTTAAAGACCCCCTTGTATGACTTGTTACTATTTCACATTTACTTTGAAATTGCACAGGGGACTGGATTACCAAATGATTATTTTGATTTATGGAGGGGAAAAAAGCATTGATATGAGGCTCTGGGTGGTATCACAACAATAGGAATTCCTCTCTGTGGGCAAGTAATAGTCACTGAAAAACACAGCCTTTGCCTTTCCCTGCCTGTGTTCCACACGATTAATTCCTAGAGCAGTGCCTCACACTGAAGCTTATGATTCTTTGGTAAACGAACGTGTTTCAATATCATTGTGAAATACGGTTCTTGAAAGTGCTCTGAATTATTATCTCATTCACACATAAACACACACACACACACACTCACACCTGGATTTCTGACAAATGTGTCCTAAACCTAAACCTTCGAATTTGCATTCTGTTTCTTTGTAAACTGAGGATTACAGGAGAGTCACCATCACCTAATGTGTCCTTACTAAGGGTTGTTTCACTTCTAGAGAATCAGCCTTGTATCTTTACTTGAAAGAGGACATAACAAGCATAATGTTTTTATCTTTAATGTCATTGATTTCTTGTGGACAGTCATGTAACCTGAACTATACAAAATTTTAAATTATTGGCAAGGAACAATTATAAACTAATCACTGACTTATTAAAAACCAAGTAAGCCCACTTTTCCCTAAACATTTTTCAAAGAAAGTTGCACATTTACGACTAATGGAACCTCAGTGTGGTTTCCTATGGCTTCTCATAGGGGTTAGTGAAAGAGGGCCACACATTCTCTAAGAGATGGGTACACAGATATTTGGAATTGAAAAATAACTAGATAACCCTGAACAAACCCACTTATCTTTGGAACAAGCATTTCCACTGAAGAATTGGTCGGATAGGAGAACATGTCCTTATAACTTTCTTACTCCCTATTATCTTTTTTTTTTTAACTCCCTATTATCTCAGTGAACAAAAATCCAAGCCAAATCTTTGAATTTCTTTCCATTAGCCAAGGAGGAAGAGATTGTAATTGCAGATTCTGGGAGTGATACAGTGTTCGCAACAGTCTGCACACCAAGAACATTAATTGATTTACATTGATTAATAATATCAGAATGCTTTAACTATATGAATTCTAGATCTCACCTATTGTGCACTATGTTAAGAAAAACTGAAAGTGCTCTATTGTAATAATACATAAACTTAAAGCATAGATTGCATCTGTTACGCAGCTCTGCTTACTCAAATAAATTACATACACCAAATTCTAGTTTATACAATAGATACACGGTCCAGAAATATATATATGGTATTTGGGAAAGAAAATACACGCTCACACCCACGCACACACACACCGACCCATGCACAAAACCGTAAGAGCCAACTCCATGTTTTCCCAGCCTTCACTGCAGCAGGGTGACATTGTGACACTGCTGTACCAACGTGACGTAAACAGAGGTTAGCCGGGATGGTTTCTGAGAAAGCTTTGCTCTTCTTATCAAAGGAACTTATTCCAGTTGCTACTGCTACATAACACACTATCCAAAACTTAGTAGCATCAAACACCCATTTGATTGTGTTCTGGGATCCTATAGGTCAGGAATTCAGACAGGGTACAGGGAACAGATGGCTTTTCTATGCCCCACAACATCTGGAGCTTCAGCCGGGGCGGCGGGGCGGGGGGGGGGGGCTCAAGCACTCAAGAATCATCTGGAGTAGATGTGTCTAATGGAACTTTCTCTAATGATAGAAACTTGCTGTACCTATATTGTTCAATAGGATAGCCACGAGTCACATCTGACTATTGAGCCCTTGAAAGGTGGCCAGGGTGACTGAGGAACTAACGTTCTCATTTAATTTTAATTAAATGTAAATTGAAATAACCACAGGTGGCCAGTGGCTCCTGAGTTGAACAGCATGAATCTGGAGGCGTTTTCGCTTAATCTGTCTAGCACCTGGGCTGCAAGATGACCCAAGGCTGGGCTCAGTTGGCACTGTCCACTGAAACATCTGCAAATGGCCTCTGAACTCTCCCTGTGGCTTGGGCTTCTCACAGCGTGGCAGTTGGTTCTGAGAGGAGGCATCCCAAGGGGGAGGGCGGTCTCTGAAGAGCAAACATTCTAAGAGAAGGACATGAAAGGTCCATGGCCTTTTATTGACCAAGCCTTGGAAGTCACAAAGCACCACTACTGCCATATCCATTGGTGGAAGTAATCATAAGCCTGTCTAGAGTCAAGAGGAAATCACAGAGACACCCCCTCCCCACCTCTAAAGGGAGGAATGTCAATGAATTTTGCACCAATATAAAAAATCACCACTGGGAAATTTTCAGCTTTTTTTCTGCCTTAACACGAATCTGGTAGCAGGAGCTACAGCTGCCTTTTTAGCACCATGAAGAGGATGCAAGATAACCACAGAGATATAGGCTCTGACCAAAGCTAGTGACTACCTAGCTCTACTCTACTTTTTAACCCACATGAAATGCTCCATGACTGACAGCTGAAAATATACTCATCAAAAATACTGATTTGGGGCGCCTGGGTGGCTCAGTGGGTTGAGCCGCTGCCTTCGGCTCAGGTCATGGTCTCAGGGTCCTGGGATCGGGTCCCGCATCGGGTTCTCTGCTCGGCAGGGAGCCTGCTTCCCTCTCTCTCTCTCTCTGCCTGCCTCTCCATCTACTTGTGGTCTCTGTCTGTCAAATAAATAAATAAAATCTTAAAAAAAAAAAATACTGATTTAACATCTTTTAAGGAAACCTGAACTTGATTCTTTAAAAAAAAAAAATTATCTAGTCTGAATATTATCTAGACTTTCTCCTTATAAAACCTGGAGGGGTGTCTGGGTGGCTTATTTGGTTAAGCATCCACCTCTTTTTTTTTTTTTTTTTAAGATTTTATTTATTTACTTGACACAGAGAGATCACAAGTAGGCAGAGAGGCAGGCAGAGAGAGAGAGAGAGAGAGAGAGAGAGAGAGAGAGAAGCAGGCTCTCAGCTGAGGAGAGCCCGATGTGGGGCTCGATCCCAGGACCCTGA